TACTTCATTATATTCGTAAGAAAACAATATATATAAAATCAAAATTGTCAAAAAGTTAAAATAAAATATGAATTAGACAAAATAAAAAAATTAAAGAACAAAATCCAAAACTAATAAATTGTAAACTTAATCTTATTAAAATTTGTAGGTTTAAACTTAATCTTATAAAAATTTGGAGGAAACTAGAAAAACATTTTTATTATCATCATCAACCATTATTGTTCGTGTCTTTAAATTCAAACTGCTTCTGATATTCTGAACAACAAAATAAAAAATAATTAAACATCAAGAACTAACTATAGAATGTCAAATGAAGACCTAGAAAAGAATTTAAAATCAACAAAGAAGCAAACATAGTCTAAACTAGAAGAATTATCAATACATACCTTATAAAGAATCTATATAATTTGGCTAATTAATACACCTCTATATGACTAAAGTTTCTTAAAGTAATAATAATAAGATAAAATTTCTTCATAAACCGAAAACCCGAACGATTTTACGGTTGTTAAACCGAAACCAAAATAATTTTAAAATAGCAACCAAACGGGTTTATAGATAAAACCGAAACCGAACCAAAACACCTAATTACGATTCGGTTTGGTTTTTTTTCCACCCCTAGCTTTAACATTTTTCCCCTTTAAATGTATTCAAATATTACATGAAAATTGAGAGATAGAATCGAGATATCATGGAGAATTCCATAGATTTCTAATTGTTGATTCTTCAAAGTGATCAGATTAATGAGGATCTGTGAATCCGAAGCCAGTCCGAGGTTCCTACAGTCCGTAATTCGTCGCTTGTAGCAGAGTTTCGCGAATTGCTATTGCTTCCGCCATTAAAGGTGAGGAGATATGAGGTTTCGCACTAGAGCCTTTGTAGATGATTTGATCTTGTTTCGTTATAGTTTAAGGTTCTTCTTTTGCGGTATTAAACTTCTTTCCTTTTTATTTAATAAAAAACCAATAATAATTTTTTGTATATTATTTGGAAACTGATTTTTTAGAGTGTGCTTAATATTTACATGTCAACTTTAAAATCAATCTTAACAAAAAAATATGACATGGCAAACAATTTATTATGACATGGCAAAAAATATTTAATAGCTAAATTTCTATCTCTTACCATAAATAAAATAAAATAATTTTTGACTAATATTTTATAATATTTTGGTTTTTAATAATCAAATTTTAGAACACTTTTCTATATCAAATATATTTTTACTGAAATTTATAATAAAAACTACCAATTTTTAAAAAATAATATACATATTCTTTTGTTTTTTAAACACAAGATAGTATTGTATAAACCAAAACATTAAAATCGATTTTGTAATCAACTTACTTTGCAATGTTTTATTGATCTTACATAATATTTTTTTGTCTTTTTTAATAGCATCCATTCGTTAAGAATTGGAAAAACATAGTTATCATTCCTCTTTAAAAGGATAAATTTTAAAAAGAAAAGTATTTTTAATACAGTATATCTTATTATATAAAAAAAGATACAAACGATGAGAACGCGAGACGTAAGCAAAATTCTAATTCACTTGATCTTGATATGTGTTAAAATTAATT